ATAACTCAGAGAAAAGTATTATTGGTGCCAAATTTGTGCAGCAACCAGTTCAGTAGTATCACAAAAAAAAAAAAAAAAAGGACCGGTGAAATTCATTTCTTGGAATTTATTAAGGGAGTAGAAAAAATAAGGCACTTGGTTCTGCTGCCTACAGGAGATTGTAAAAATCAATATTAGGAGTAGATTGTAAGCTCGAAAGAGCAGGGCCCTCGATCCCCTCATGTTTTGCATTGCAACTGTTGGCGCTTTATAAATACTGTATAATAATAATAATAATAATCATAAGAGCAGAGGACTGTGACTTACAGAAGTACAGCCAAGTCACCTCTTTCTGCTCAGAGCGGCTGTTAGAACTCAGTGATCAGGTCTTTTAATAAACGCCAAGAAAAAGATTTGACAGTAAGTCAAAAAATTATGTTTTCTTAATTGTTCATTAAGGGACAGAGCAAAAGTTATTCTGAGACACTGGAATGTGTATATGTATTCCAACTGAGGGGGTGGGCAACATAAACAAAACACCAACAGGCGCGAGAGAGAGAGAGAGAGAGAGAGAGAGAGAGAGAGAGAGGGGGGGGCGAGAAAGAAAGAGAGAGAGGGGACGAGAAAGAAAGAGAGAGAGAGAGGGGACGAGAAAGAAAGAGAGAAAGAGAGAGGACGAGAAAGAAAGAGAAAGAGAGAGGATGCGAGAAAGAGAGAGGGGGGGGGGGCGAGAAAGAGAGAGGAGGGGGGGGGGCGAGAAAGAGAGAGGGGGGGGCGAAAGAGAGAGGGGGGCGAGAAAGAGAGAGAGGGGCGAGAAAGAGAGGGGGCGAGAAAGAGAGAGGGGCGAGAAAGAGAGAGGGGACGAGAAAGAGAGAGAGGGGGACGAGAAAGAGAGAGAGGGGGCGAAAGAGAAAGAGAGAGAGGGGGCGAGAAAGAGAGAGAGAGAGAGAGAGAGAGAGGGACGAGAAAGAGAGAGAGGGGGGGCAAGAAAGAGGGGACGAGAAAGAGAGAGAGGGGTGACGAGAAAGAGAGGGGGGGACGAGAAAGAGAGAGAGAGGGGGGACGAGAAAGAGAGAGGGGGGGACGAGAAAAGAGAGAGGGGGGGACGAGAAAGAGAGAGAGGGGGGGACGAGAAAGAGAGAGAGGGGGGGACGAGAAAGAGAGAGGGCACGAGAAAGAGAGAGGGCACGAGAAAGAGAGAGAGGGGGGGGCAAGAGAAAGAGAGAGAGGGGGGGCAAGAAAGAGAGAGGGGGGGCAAGAAAGAGAGAGAGGGGGGGCAAGAAAGAGAGAGAGGGGGGTGAGAGAGAGGACGGGGAGAAAGAGAGAAAGAGGGGAAGAGAGAGAGGACGAGAAAGAGGGGACGAGAAAGAGGGGACGAGAAAGAGGGGACGAGAAAGAGGGGACGAGAAAGAGGGGACGAGAAAGAGAGAGGCACGAGAAAGAGGGGACAAAAAAGAGAGGGCACGAGAAAAAGAGAGAGAAAGAGGGGACGAGAAAGAGAGGGGGCACGAGAAAGAGAGAGGGGGGCAAGAAAGAGAGAGAGGGGGGCGAGAGAGGGGACGAGAAAAGAGAGAGAGAAAGAGAGAGAAAGAGGGGGCGAGAAAGAGGGGACGAGAAAGAGACGAGAAAGAGAGAGAAAGAGGGGACGAGAAAGAGAGAGAAAGAGAGAGGGCACGAGAAAGAGAGAGGGCACGAGAAAGAGAGAGGGCACGAGAAAAGAGAGAGGGGAGAGAGAGAGAGAGAGAGAGGACGAGAAAGAGAGAGAGAGAGGACGAGAAAGAGAGAGAGAGAGGACGAGAAAGAGAGAGAGAGAGGACGAGAAAGAGAGAGAGAGAGGACGAGAAAGAGAGAGAGAGAGGACGAGAAAGAGAGAGAGAGAGGACGAGAAAGAGAGAGAGAGAGGACGAGAAAGAGAGAGGACGAGAAAGAGAGAGAGGACGAGAAAGAGAGAGGACGAGAAAGAGAGAGGGCGAGAAAGAGAGAGGACGAGAAACAGGAGAAAGAGAGAGGACGAGAAAAAAGAGAGAGAGAGAGAGAGAGGACGAGAGAGAGAGATCAGTGCTGCTGCTCTGGGACACAGCGTTCAATCAAGATCGAGCTCCGGAATATATTTAGAGGGCACTGATCATGGAAAGTTTTTTTTTTATATCTTAAATCCTTTACAACCGCTTGAAACGTAATGGAATATTATTGGTATGTGCTCTTAAAACTGCTGACAGGGTTACTTTAAGTGGTCTCTAAAAAAAAAACTTTAGATCAGCCGTTTAGATAGATGGCAAGAATGTATATCCTTTTTGAGGTAGTAGAACCAACATGGCGGCACTCCTGATGATGTCATGATGACGCGACACATTGGGCGGAGCTAACTGTGTCACTTCCAGTTTGTATGAATCCGCATGTATAGTGCATCGGCATCCCGGAACACCGATTTTAAAGTGCCCATATATGGCATACCTGTAAGTGCAATTTTTATATGGTTTTAATCAAAATAAACAGTATATAACGCTATGAAAGCTTCCCTTTGATTATTCCTATTGCATATCTCTGTGGTGGTGGAGAAGTGGAAACCTTTTTTTTCACCGAGAGGATCTTATCACATTATTGGATAATCCATTACAGTTGCTCACAGGAGGAACGCATCTGAACAAGCACCTTTGACCCACCTAATTGTAGGGGGTCAATATTTTGCGGTGAGTGCAGTTCTGGAAGGGGAGCACGAGCAGCAGCGCGGATCACTAGCTATACGTTATTGGCACTGGTTTTATCACCAAGTCACCAATTACTTATAGGATGTGGAAGGTGTCTTGCAGTACGGGACACCGTTTACTCTATAAAGAACGAACTGGTCTAACCTATTTTATATTAGTTTTGATATATTGATTTTCATATATGGACATTTATGCACGTTGTGATAGGGGGAGGTGCATTGTAGCACCTGTCACAGACCCCAATTATTTAACTTCAAATTATTTTAATATTTATTTATTGTTGATGGGTTCACCAAAACACATCAACTGATGAGGGAGGTGTGTTATTGCACGCCTACTATTTTTCATTGTGAATGTTTTATGATTTATTCACCACAGTTGTAAACAGGTGGGGATTTTTTTTCCACTTATACAGGTGAAACTCGAAAAATTAGAATATCGTGCAAAAGTTTATTTCAGTAATGCAACTTAAAAGGTGAAACTAATATATGAGATAGAATCATTACATGCAAAGCAAGATAGTTCAAGCCGTGATTTGTCATAATTATGATGATTATGGCTTACAGCTCATGAAAACCCCAAATCCACAATCTCAGAAAATGAGAATATTGTAAAAAGGTGCAATATTCTCGGCTCAAAGTGTCCCACTCTAATCAGATAATTAAGCCATAACACCTGCAAAGGGTTCCTGAGCCTTTAAATGGTCTCAGTCTGGTTCAGTAGGAATCACAATCATGGGAAAGACTGCTGACCTGACAGTTGTGCAGAAAACCATCATTGACACCCTCCATAAGGAGGGAAAGCCTCAAAAGGTAATTGCAAAAGAAGTTGGATGTTCCCAAAGTGCTGTATCAAAGTACATTAATAGAAAGTTATGTGGAAGGGAAAAGTGTGGAAGAAAAAAGGTGCACAAGCAGCAGGGATGACCGCAGCCTGGAGAGGATTGTCAGGAAAAGGCCATTCAAAAGTGTTGGGGACTTTCACGAGGAGTGGACTGAGGCTGGAGTCAGTGCATCAAGAGCCACCAAACACAGACGGATCCTGGACATGGGCTTCAAATGTCGTATTCCTCTTGTCAAGCCGATCCTGAACAACAAACAATGTCAGAAGTGTCTTACCTGGGCTAAAGAAAAACAGACCTGGTCTGTTGCTCAGTGGTCCAAAGTCCTCTTTTCTGAGAGCAACGTTTGCATCTCATTTGGAAACCAAGGACCCAGAGTATGGAGGAAGAATGGAGAGGCCAAGGACCCAGAGTATGGAGGAAGAATGGAGAGGCACACACTGCAAGATGCTTGAAGTCCAGTGTGAAGTTTCCACAGTCTGTGTTGAGGGGAGCCATGTCATCCGCTGGTGTTGGTCCACTGTGCTTCATTAAGTCCAGGGTCAACGCAGCCGTCTACCAGGAGATTTTGGAGCACTTCATGCTTCTCTCCGCAGATGAGCTTTATGGGGATGCTGACTTCATTTTCCAGCAGGACTTGGCACCTGCCCTCACTGCCAAAAGTACCAAAACCTGGTTCAATGACTGTGGGATTACTGTGCTTGATTGGCCAGCAAACTCGCCTGACCTGAGCCCCATAGAAAATCTATGGGGCATTGCCAAGAGAAAGATGAGAGACATGAGACCTAACAATGCAGAAGAGCTGAAGGCCGCCCTTGAAGCATCCTGGTCTTCCATAACACCTCAGCAGTGCCACAGGCTGATAGCGTCCATGCCACGCCGCATTGAGGCAGTAATTGCTGCAAAAGGGGCCCAGATCAAGTACTGAGTACATATGCATGTCTACTTTTCAGAGGTCTGATATTGTTCTATGTACAATCCTTGTTTTATTGATTGCATGTACTATTCTAATTTTCTGAGGATTGTGGATTTAGGGTTTTCATGAGCTGTAAGCCATAATCATCACAATGATGACAAATCACGGCTTGAACTTTCTTGCTTTGCATGTAATGAGTCTCATATATTAGTTTCACCTTTTAAGTTGCATTACTGAAATAAATTAAATTTTGCACAATATTCTAATTTTTCGAGTTTCACATGTACACTTCCCCAGCAATAGGGAGGTGTTCACAACACACTTGGAAAACTTTTTTCACTATGATTTTATAAAAAAAGAACAGGATTGGCAGCACAGCATTCATTTTGTTTCAGTAGAACCAACGGTGCAAGCCGTACACAAACCAATATGGCCACCAATAAGTTAAAGTAATTTTGAATTGGCAACTGTGGATTTTACAGCTAAACCTTTTCTCCTGATGGACAGCAGGTGAAAAACGGCACCTTAAAAGGATATCCCTTAGGGTGTGAAATACCTGAGCTATGTTTTTGTTGAGAAGGTATACTCCGTAGTCAAACTGCAGCTTTTCACCTCCTTTTGGATACAAAGGAAACCTGGAAAACCAAAACAGAGGAAGTGGTGCAAAAGTTAAGAATCTGAAATAAGTATATTTTAGGCAAACATTTCAAATAGGAGGCTATAACTATAGGGGCAGATAACCCACAAAATACAGTAAATGGCTAAAAGTTCATAGAAACCATCACATATACAGGAGCTTGTTGGATATCCAATTTACAAACCATGGGAGTGAATATGGAGTTGCCCTACTTTGAGGCAATAATAGGCTCCGTTCTTCTTAGAAGGCTTTCCACAAGTTGGAACGCATCTGTGAGAATTTGTGCCCATTCAACCAAAAGAGCATTTGTAAAATCAGGTACTGATGTTGAAACAAGAAGACTTGGCTCACAATTGGTATTCCAATACATTTCAAAGATGATCGTTAGGGTGAAAAAACATTCAGTTCTACACCAAACTGCTCAAACCATAACCATGCTATTTCTATAATAGATAACTTACACTTTAGTGAAAAAAAAAAAAAAAAAAAAAAAAAGTACTGAGGTTTCTTTATGAAAGTGGTCAAGCCCTTCTAGATACAAAAAAATATTTACTAGGGCTCTTTAAAGTAATCCTGTTACCAGATACTGAAGAGCAGGTCACTGGATGTGCACTGTAAGATATGTGGGAGATCCCAAAAGGTAGCTGCATTCAGTGTCTGGCCATAGTTCAGTAGTTGCAAGGTGACCACAGGTACACTTTAACAAATCCCCATGGTTTTCCCCATTTACTGCATATCAGAAACTAAAATCTCATTTCATTTTATGGCTCTAGGTCAGTTATTAGCCTCATGTTACCTGCACAGTATAAATGGCACGGTTTTTTAAATGCTTTTAGGTTTTCGTAACCTAGTTAGACTTTTACTGTGACGTTAAACTGCAAAGGATCTATGCTTCATAAACTGCCCGTTATACTTCGGCAGGGTTATAGGAATCAGAGCATCTCTATACTGATGCCAAGAGGTTTATAAAAGGGTCCTATGTGGAGGCCCCTCTCTGAAGGAGACCTCTCCTATACGTTCACAAAGAAGAAAACTTGTACTGTGCTCTCAGCCACCTGCCATTCAAAACGGGCTTGGAAACCTAACAACTGCTTGCAAGAAAAGTTTTTAACAACTCTCAGCTGGATTTAATTGTGCATGAAACATGTGGCTTAAATCCTACATTTCTGCTAATCAGTAATTTGCCCCGTCCACCAGCAAATTATATAATTTTTTTTTTTGTGATAATTCATTCAAGGCAAGAAGAGGCAAAACAGAAAAACACATGAATGTGAACAGTGTGGAATATCAAAAAGATGATGAATGTAGCTTATTGTTAGCATAGTTAGGGAGATGGGTGCAGCCAAATTGTTTAAGGTAAAGAAGAGTTTTTGAAAAAGCTCTGGATTCTTTATATTTTTTTTTATAATTGTTTTTAGAATAGGTTTTTATTGGGTTAAAGCATACAATGATGGAAAAGGTACCCACAATGGACAATCAAACGCACATCGCAATGTTACATAAAGATTTTGGTTGTTGCTATACAATATTCTGCTAAATCAAACCAATAAAATGTCACTGTCATGAGTGGAGACCTCAGAAAAGTTAGGAAAGCCCAAGGAGAGGAGAGAAAGGGAATACAAAAAAGGATATGAATAGAGAGGTTAGGGGTGGGCACAGCAGACCCCGAGACACGGTTCTTAATGGCACTCAGGTAGAACTTTGATCTAGAAGCCTGTATGCAGAGTCCAGGTAAGGATAAATTATTAAAGGGTGAAAAGCTTACAATGTGAAAGGGTAACACCGCACACCTAGCCCGACTACAGCATAGAAGAGATGAAGATATTAAATGGTCTCAGCCAGCGCTGCTCCACAACCCATGCCCCCCCCCTTCTCCGTCACATAGAACTCCAGGCAAAAACTTTTTTACATGTCCTTTTTGCTGATTTACTACCTTTACCAAAAATGTAATCAATCTTATTAACTCGGGAATTGATGGATTCAAAAATGATCTGGCTATTTCAAATGCTTTCCTGTTTGTAAGACCGGTGCCTGCTATGCCTCCTATTCCATTCCCCCAACCACCGATCTTGGCACATCCCATCTGTAATTATTTTCTCCAGCAAGCAGTGCTGTAATTCCTTCCCTGCTTGCTGCAGTGGGCGGATTGGAACTCACAGACTCCTGGTCTATACCGCCCATGGAGGTGGGGGGTCCTAAAAATGACAGGATGCTCTTCCAGGAGTGGACCGATAGTGCTGGGTGGCTGACGCATACATGTCATACTGGGGCAGTATTTTGGGATACACATGTCCTGTCCTAGGCTCTGTGTTTGGAGAGGGAAGGATGTTCTGTGCAGGGACCGGCCAGTGATGTGTGATGCAGAGGGGAAGTTTCTGGGTGGAGGGCAGAGTTATTATACAGGGACTGACATATACAGTAAGGGCTGTTCAATCATAGCGCAGGGGGCAGGCTCGACTCGGGGACAGGCTGGGCATGACTTGGCATGCAACAGCCACTTTAAGCCCAGGGATCAGACACCTCCCCTGCCACTTAGACCTTGCCATTTCACCCTGCCAGGCACAGCTGTTCCTGAGGCTGCAGTAGGGATGGGGAGCCCTGTTATCCGGGGAGAGGTTGGGAATACTCCGCTCTGAAGGACAGCCACTGAGAGCTCAGTAAGAACTTCTCCAGGGCCCCAGTCTGCGGACCCCACATCTCGGTGACGGGACATATGTAGAAGACTACAGAGAAAGAACTATTATTATTATTATTATACAGTATTTATAAAGCGCCAATAGTTCGCTCAGCGCTGTACATTACAAAGGGGGACAGAACATGTGACAGAACAATACCAATACAATGCAAAACATGAGGGGATTGAGGGCCCTGCTCTTTGGAGCTTACAATCTAGGAGGGAGGGGATGGTGGCACAGGAGGATATAGCTGTGGGGGATGGAGTGGTAGGAAGAGTGGAGGAGGTCGGCAACTCAGCAGGGGGTGGGATAGGCTTCCCTGAAGTGATGGGTTTTCAGGGTGCACCTAAAGGAGAGGAGAGTAGGTGATAATCTGATGGGTTGGGGCAGGGAGTTCCAGAGGATGGGTGACACCCTGGAGAAGTCCTGGAGGCGGGCATGGGAGGAGGAGACCAGGGAACTAGAGAGAAGGAGGTCTTGTGAGGAGCGGAGAGTGCGTGTTGGGTGGTACTTGGATATTAGGTCAGTGATGTAGTTCGGGGCAGTATGGGGGACAGCTTTGTACGTCAGTGTTAGGATTTTGAATTTGATCCGTTCTGCAATCGGAAGCCAGTAGAGGGATTGGCAGAGGGGGGTGACGGAAACAGAGCGGTTGGAAAGGTAAATGAGTCTGGCAGCCGTATTCAGGATGGACTGAAGCGGGGATAGCCAGCGGCGAGGCAGGCCAGTGAGGAGGGAGTTGCAGTAGTCGAGTCGTGATATGATGAGGGAGTGGATGAGCTGTTTAGTGGTTTCTGGGGTTAGGAACGTGCGGATTTTGGCGATGTTGCGGAGGTGGAGTCTGCATGAGTTTGTTAAAGATTGGACTTGGGGCTGGAAGGATAGGTACAACCAAAGTAACCAAAATAATATATTAATATTATTATTATAATACAGGATTTATATAGTGCCAACAGTTTGCTCAGCACTTTACAATATAACGGGAGACAATACAGCAACAATACAGTTCAATACAAGAGGGATTTGAGGGCCCTGCTCCTTGGAGCTTACAATCTAGGAGGGAAACATTTTGCACACTCATGCTTTACATTTATAAGATTGTCACCTGTCCTGCTGTGTGGTGCTGAGCAGTGTGGCTAGAGAATGAGGGGGCATAATTCATGTTGAAGCGGGCACAAAGTACATAATTAACATGTACAGGCCTAGCGTACCTGCCCACGTTCATGGCAATTCCCTGTGGTTGATGGGAACTGTAGTTTCCGTTTACTTTAGAGAGTGAAGAGAAGATATGATGCAATCCCGGCTGTTACACCTCCTCCTTGGCAGAGCAAAGGTTATCTCTTGAATTTTCAGGATGTTGTTACTGTAATTCAATTAGACTGTTCTCTTCAATGGTAAGGAATTTCACAAATCTATTAACTATTTAATGTTGTGTGTGTTTCGAATAAGTGATTTTTTTTTTTTTATGCCTATCCCGGACTTATCCTTTAAAACTGAACTCCAAGTATGATCTTTATTGCATACTGACATTGGTCCAGTGTGGCACAATGTAAGTATGACTCTCTTATACCCGAGGCGCCCCTGAGGTATCTGAAAATAACTGTAGTAAATCAGAGCTACTATTGTAATAGCCACAATCTTCCAGGTCCTGGTCAAGTTCTATGTGAACAGCTGCCCACACACGGAGTCACTTGCTTTGCACCGCCATTCACAGAACACCTAGTATAGTTTTTAATAAATAAATACAAGGCATTCTCTGGTTAGATGAGGTGGAGAAGAGGGTAGTGATGCCATGATATCCAACCTCATCCAAAAATTGAGTAAGACCTTTCTGAGCAAAGGTGGCCTGCAGATAGCTCCAGTCCAGGTGGCCCATATGCCTTTTTGGCGTTTATTGAGAATATGCATAGAGAGAGAACCTGCTGAACTTTACATTGCCTGGCTTATTTTATTGATGATTCCCTATACAATCACAAAGGTTTTACCAGAAAACTTCAGGTTGCAATGCTGGATCCCCAAAACTTTTTGTTAAAGTTATTGTTCTTGGCTACATGACAATTTTTAAAACCACTTCAAATACTTCACAATTACCTATCATCTCAAAATCAATATCAGCTGTTCACATTTCCAGTCATGTTCTTGAGAAAATCAAAATCTGCCTTGACACATATGACACCATAGTCATTGGATTAGGTGATTAAGTTGCCCGTGGAGGCATAAATGCTGCGGCAGGCAGGTCCTGAAGAAGTCATGAGTGATATGAAAACATTATTACATGTCCAGTTGGATGTGAATAACTATTGTAAGCTGCTTTAAACAGGAA